CTTTACACAATTGATGTGTGTATGGATTGCGATAACAGTTGTATGAGCCCCTAATAAAATGTTTAAAAAAACAAAAAAAAACCCTGGCGCATTGAAAGATGGTTGCGTTAGCATGTGCATTGTCGTGCTAGCAAAACCAGTTCCCTATCTGCCACAAATCAGGCCTTTTTTGTCACACACTGTTATGAATCTTTTCAGAATCTCTAAACAGAAGCTTGATTAACAGTCTGACCTGGTGGAACAAACTCCAAATACACTATCGCCCTCACATCACATCTGGTTTTGGGTGTGGTACCCCCCTAATATTTGTGCAAAACTAAAGAAAAGATGAACAAATGCATTTGAATACATTTAAGTTGTCCTGTGGAAAAAATAATACTCCCAGCATCCAATTATTACTGACTTATCAAATAAGCAATGAGCTACAACCATAATCACCATAATTGTGCATGCCAGCTCATTCTTTCAGCTCTTCAGTTTTGATACATGTATAATACGATATGAAAACATTTCTTCCTTGATGAAAGTAAGAACTATAGTCAGAAAAGTGGTCTCCAGTTAGTTACAAGAGCTGAGATGAAATAAAACTGAGAATATCAAGACAAGGTGTAGTTTTGGATACAAGAAAAATTTGGATAAAGGACTTATGAATAATAATTTAGTATTTTATGTTTCTTGGCTATGATATGGACTACCTTATTCCCTACCATTTTCAAAACATTGCCAGTTCTGCTGAAAGCAGAACTATCAAAATTCCAGACTCCCTCATCTCTCTCCCTATTATTTTTACTTATTCTCCCATGTGTATTCTCATTTAAACCACCAGGTAAAAGTGCAACAGTTTTTAAAGCCATTTAAAACTCTTACCCTCTTCCCTTCCTCCAAAAGCACTTTTGAACTTCCTTAGATTATATGTCATTTAAAAAATATATTATAATTGTGTTTTAATTATTGTGGAATACTAAAGGGCAGGGTTTTGAGGGCAAATTAAACTAAATTTATTTTAAGACTAAATGTCTTGCCTTGATTCTATCCATTTTAAAATTCAGATGTAAGAGGTAGAATATTACCCTGAATAGGTGACTTCTAGCTATATGTTTCTAAATATGCTGCTTCTCCTGAACAAACTCCAATCTTTTTTTAGGTGTAAAGGGTCCTGAAAAAAGATGCCTGATGACCTAGTAATTCAGGACATCTCATCTATAAAAGAGATAAGGATCCCTGTTGTATATAGGTTTCATAATGAATCATTTATTATTCACTCAACACCTACCTACTTAGAATTTTCTATAGCAGAAGAAACAATATTGAATGAAAAAAATCTATTTTCTAAACAACAAATAAATAAACATAAGATTTCAAACCAAGTACTATGGTTGGGGTGGGGGGGTGGGGAAGCCCTGCTAAAGCAGATTGATAATTAGGGAGAGTAGTCAACAGATGACATTTAACCTGAGTCCTGAACTGATCTAAATGAATGAGGGATACAATCCTGGTGGCATCTGAACAAAAGGTTATCCCAGACAGAAAAAACATCGAGTGCAAAGACTTTGAGATGAAACGTGTTTGGCATGCTTGACAGAGAGCCAGGAGGACAGTGTGGTGGAACTAGAGAGAGCAAGGGATGGAGTCTACAGACAGTGCTATGAGCTAGGAGTATAAGAAAATTTCTGAATTTTTTTAATTTTAGCTGTAAAGGGTCCTGAAAAAAGACGCCTGATGACCTAGTGATTCAGGACACAACTGCTAACCATAGGTAGGCAATTTGAACTCACCAGTCACTCTGTGGGAGAAATATTTCGGCCTTGAGAGCCCTATGGGGCAGTTCTACATTTCTAAAGAGTCATTATGCATCAGAAGCAGCTAGAACACAAAAGATCAGATCCTGGTTTAGAAGGAGTTCCCAACTGAAATGTTGATGGTTTGAACTCATCCAGTAGCTGAGCTGGAGAATGACCAGGCTCTCTGCTCTCACAAAGTTTACAGTCTAGAAAAAAACCAAACTGGTAGCTCTGTGCCATGAGGGTGCTATGAGTTTAAAATCTGTTCAACAGCACCTAATGGCAATATTCTAGTGGTGATAAAATGCTGTTAAACTTTTTATTTAAGTATCACTCAGGATCTGTAAGTGATATTCATTACAGAGTTTGGGATAGATTTAGTGAGATCAGATAGGAGAGTAAATTTAGTCACTTGAAAGATGATGTTAGCTTGGATTAGATTCATAGTGGTGAAGACCAGAGGAATGCAGATTCATTTGGAGAGGAGGGCATTTGTTGATCAATTATGGTGTCTGATAAAGACTAGCAAGGACAAGAACTAGGATTGGGGACTGGGACTGGGATTGGGCTAATTATGGCACTAGAGGAGCAGATTTAGAAATATTTTTCTGCTTTGCACATATTGAATTTCCTGTAAAATGACTAAATAGATATGTAACATAGAAATTCTGATATATAAGACTAGAATTCATGAAAGGTGTCTGGATAAGC